TCAACAGTGCGGAGGGTCTCCAGTCGGCTACACGTAAGAGTGACCCTGGGTAAGAGGGACCTTTGGTGCGCGGCTCTGGGGGGGCCGCGGGGAGGCCAAATCCAGGCGCGCTGGCTGCTGCTACCGCTTCGCGTTCAGCAATCTGGGGGCCCACCTGTGCCCGCACCAAAGTTGCAGGCCTAGAAATCGGCACCAACACCAACACGGGGGGGTTGCCTCCACATGGGAGAGATGATCCTAGACTTCGGTGCTGGCGGCAATATTTCGGCCACCTTGGAGGCCAGAGAATTACCACCATCACCGAGATCGGGATCGTCCTCCCTCGGTGGAGGCACACCGCTGATCTTGGTGCTGGTGTCAACCTCCAGTCCTGCGACAAAGGCCACTCTGGCGAAAAAGGTCACTCTCACGCCGAGTCGACTCCGAGCCTTGCTGCTCGCGGAGGCCGGCCTCAGCCAGCACGGCCTCCGCGCGCCCAGCGTGTCGGGCGACGATCCGCGCAGGATGGCGGCAGCCGAACAGGGGGGGCACGGCTCTGTGGGGCTGCACGGCCTTCGGCCGCCACAGCCTTCGCTGGGGCGTCGGCCGCGTGCTTCCGGCCGCGCTGCCGGGCCGCGATGCGCCCCTCCACGACGCCTTGTCGCGCCGCGTGCGCGAGGACCCTGCAGAAGGCCACGTCTTCGGGCGCATCGCCAACAGCCGCCTGGCGCCACAGGTGGGGGAAGCGCTGGCCTGGCCCGCTGGCGCTCTCCGGGTCTTGCCCGCGGGCGACGGTGGCAACGCCGTCTGAATGGTAACAGCGTGCAGCGGCCGGCTGCGTGCCTTGACGCTATCAGGGCAGCATGATCCTCCCCATCCCTGGCGGACTGGGACGGGCAGAGACTTCGGGGCACCACCCCGCGCAGCGAGCCCAAGAGACGAAAATCGGCGTCGTAGACAACCACTGCCCAGCCACCCACCCTCTTGGTGGGAAATGCTGCGTCGAAGCAAGCTCCATCGGTGAAAACATGCCCGCCGTTCAATATGAGGCCGCTAGACGGCCAGAACTCTGCCTGGAGCTCGGCGCCAGGTGGCAACGGCGGCCGCCCGAAGCACTGGGCAGGGTCAGGCAAGAACACTCGTGCAAAACGTTCCCCATACTCCTCCCCGCCCTCCATCACTCGAGCGGCAGCACCACGCACCGCGGAGTCCAGATTGTCTGCCCTCCAGGTGTGGTGCGCTGGGCGCTGGAGAAATCGATGGTGCAAGGTGCCAGGCGAGCCGCGGAGGCACTGTCAGAGGTCAGGCAGCCCCAGCCCCTCCCCTTCGCGGCATAGGCGGGCCTGGCACCAATGCGTGCCGCCAAGCAGGCCTCGCTGAGCCCGCTTGTGGTGGAGGCTCCGGCCGCGCTCAGTGGGAGCGCGAAGCAGCTCTTTGAGGGATCGCCAGAAGACGGGCGCTACCCAGCTGCGGCAGCCAGGCCTCTCGGGCCGCTTCCTGCGCATTGAGGCGGAAGAGGGCCGGCGAAAACTCTGTGAGGTCCCAGCGTTCGCCCTTCTCGTCGCACAGCGCCGTGATCGGGTCGCTGCAACGAGCCCACGGGAAGCGCTGCGTGGCCGGCTGCCGTTCGTGATCCAACAGCACCTGCAGCAGGGACCGCTGGGAGACGCTGTGCCGGACCATCTCGGCATACGTCTTCGTGGCCAGCGACGTCCCGAGCACGCAAGGGTCGCGCCTCCAACTCTCGCGCCAGCTGGCCATGGCCAGCCCAAGGGAGGCCCCGCGAGGGAGGCACTCCTCTGCGCGGAGTGCGGCAGCCCTCAGCTCTTTGAGCTTGCCATTCTCGCAGGCCTAGAGATTGACACCAACACCAATTTCGGCGGTGTGCCTCCACCGGGGGAAGAAGATCCCGATCTCGGCGATGGTGGTAAAATTCTGGCTTCCAGGGTGGCCGAACTATTACCACCAACACCGAAAATCTAGGATCCTCTTCCCCCTGTGGAGGCAACCCTCTGTGCTGGTGTTGGTGCCCATTTCCAGGCCTCCAACTCTGCGCGGAAGGCGGCAGCCCTCAGCCCCTTTGAGCTCGCCATTCGGCACGCCCCGGATGGCGGTGCCCCCGCGCGCCGCCGCAGCGGGACCAGCGCGCGGCGAACCAACGCGATCGGCGCGCTGGCCCGGCGAGAAGCTGCTCCGGGCGAGCGCCGCGATGCCCTGCGGTGGTGCAAACCGCTGGCTCTGCGTGGTGCCCACTCGCCGCAGGCGCCAAGGGCGTCGCGCCGGCTCCCAAATCGCGCTGGGAATGCGACCGCTTCGGGGATCTTCTGACCCGGGTCAATCCAGACCCGGGTCAGCAGGAAGCCAGACACTGCAGTGCAGGAGAAAGAGACTGCAGCGCAGATCTTCGCAAACCCGGGTCAGCCAATAGGCGCGGCCGCCTCGCGGCCGCGAGCGGCTCGCTAACCCGGGTCAGCCAGAGGGGGTCTTCGCAGGATGCTGCAGGATCTGGCGCCCTGGCTGACCCCCGTTTGCATTGACCCCCGTCTCAAGGCTCCCGACCGCTGCTCCAGGCTGAGGTCCCGGCGCTCGCAGAGCCGAGGGCCGTGGAATTGTCCAGGAAGCCCGTCTTGTGGTCAGCGATAGACAAGCCCAGGGCTGCGACGTCGCCTTCGCCAGACTCGTAGCCCCGCGCCAGCTGCTGCGTTACCGTTCTCTCCCCGCCGAACCCGTCGATCCAGCTTTTGATCGTGATGATGGGGAAACGCATTCTTGTGTGCTTGAGCACCGTTAGGAACATGAGGCGGATGGCGAGGTGGCGCAAGAGCGACCAACTATGACCCCGCCGTTCGCAATCAACCCACGGCTGACAGCTCCCTGGATCACCACTCGCCAGCGCGCGCGATAGCAGCAGCACAAGCACCGCAAGAGCTCGAGGTCGGAGGAGGAGGAGGAGGAGGAGGAGGAGGAGGAGGAGGGGGAGGGGGAGGAGGAGGAGTAGGAAGAGGAGTAGGAAGAAGGAGGAGCGGAGGGTGAGGAGGATCAGGAAGAAGAGGAGGAGAAGGAGGAGGGGGGGAGGAGGGGAGGAGGAGGAGTAGGAGGGAGGAGGAGGAGGAGGGGGCGGGGGAAAAGGAGGAGAAGGGGGAGGAGGAGGATGAGGAGGAGGAGGAGGGGGATGAGGAGAAGGAGGAGAAGAAGGAGGAGGGGGAGGATGAGGATGAGGATGAGGAGGAGGAGCAGCAGGAAGAGGAGGAGGGACGGGAGACGAGGGGGATGGAGAGGACAGCCATATGTCCTTTCTCCTTCCTTCCTTCATCGCTTCCTGCTCCCCTCTTTCTCTGGCTTCCTCCCTCCTTCCTCTCAAGAATACCCCCAGGGTGCGGCTTGCTGCGAGGTCACGCGCATCGCAACTCGTGGTCTCGAGAGCACTCAGCGCCTTGACAGCTCTTGTGCCACCAAGGCCGAACCAACAAATTAAGGATCAAAACAACGTAGCGGAACACCTCGCCTCCTCTTCCGCTCATCATAACTACAACCCGCTGGAGTAAAAAGTGGAGACCGTGGGGATCGAGAAAGACACGGTTGGCCTCCCGTTAGGCCGCGGGGCCCCGGGACGATGTTGGAGTTGGGCCCGATTTGGGAATTCCAGATGCATCTCTCGCCCCTTTTAATATTGAAGCGGCCAAAGGGGTCAGCGTCTGAAAGTGCGATTCCGCCCGAGCTTTCCTCACTTGCCATAGCATCTGAAAGTGGCGATTTCGCGCGGGATTTCCTCAGAAAAATGTTCAGACCGATCTTCATGCCGCTTGAGATTGGCGATATCGCTTGATAATTCCCCACAGAGTATTTCCCCGCCGCTTTTCACGCCGCCAGAGATTGGCGATCTCGTTTGGGTTGTCCTAACAACCGCGCGTCTCGTCTACCCCTGCGGCGCCGTTCCTCCGTTCGGGTCAAGAGCCTGTCTTGGAGTCATCTTGGGATCGATCGAAGATCGAAGCTCGAGGTTTTACCGCTTGGCGAAGATCCAGGGGTTTTGTTCCCTCGCATGGTGCCGATCACCACTTTTCAATCCAGTGGGTGATAGTTTTCCGATATTTGCTGCCTCCTCCGGTAAGGGGACAAAAAAGTGGAACCCCTTCGTCTTCGGCCCCGCATTCGCCCCCCCCCCCCCTCCCCCCAATTTCAAAGTTGGGTTCGGCCTCTCGGAGGCCCTGGGGGTTCCACTTCTTTTGTCCTCTCACGCCTGTGCTGCCAAATGCTTGAGGCCAACTTTGAAATTGGGGGGAGGGGGGGGGGCGTGGTGTCAAGGGTTCCACTTTTTTGCCTATCTACGGTCCCACCTTCTTCCTCCTCTTCCTCTGCCACCTCCCCCGCCCCCTCCCTCCCTCCCTCCCGCCCTCCCTCCCTCCCTGCCTCCTGCCTGCTGCTGCAGCTGGCCCTCCTCGTCCCTC